CCCGAGGAAGAGGAGGAGGAGGAGGAGGAGGAGGAGGAGGAGGCGGCGGAGGAGAGGGCGGAGGCGCAGCCATTGCCGCCAGTGTGCGTGTCCCCCATGCGGGGCATGTGGCGGGAGGAGAAGGTGGCGCTCTTCTGCGACCAGGTGCTGCGGGGTTGTAAGGTGAGGATGGGAAGAAATCCGGCCAGAGTCCAGCGCGGGACCTTGTAGGGGCTTAGCAGAGGAAGTCGGGGCCAGAGGGCACCAAGAAAACCTGCGTTTCCAAAAAGTCAAACTGACTCAGCATTTGTAGGTTTATACCTTATTAGGTGTGCCCAGGCCCTAGCCTAAAGGAGCAACTATTACATTTCCGGCAGACTGAAAGTTCATCAGTTAAGGAGGCAGCTCTGGTAGTGTGTTTTCTTTTTTCCTAGAGCTTCTAAAAAATGAAGATAGACTTTATCAATGTGCAGGTATACATCTTAGTTGATTCATTTAATAGTTTGTGCACACACATAAGGATGAGATTCCATTTGGTAGCCTTGGATTTTACACTACACTGCGATGCTAAGAATGTTTACAGCCTGAGAATGGTTCGCACACATCAGTTGAGGGTGTGGAAAGATGTTTTGTATAGAACATAGATACGGTACCTGAGAATACTGAATAGAGCAAATATTGTATGTTTCTGCTTTTTAAGCAGAAGAACTTATGTACCAAGATATTTATGGCAGTGATATTTGTAAAAATTAAAAATTAGAAACTGCCTTGGCCAGTGTGGCTCAGTTGGTTGGTGGTTGTCCCATCGAGACCGCCAATTCCATTCTGTCAGGGCACATGCCTGTATTTCTGGCTCAGTCCCTAATTGAGGGTGTGCAAGAAGCAGCAGATCTATGTTTCTCTTTCTCTCCCTCTCCTTTTCTCTCTAAAATTTTATACACACACACACACACACACACACACACACATTAATTAGAAACTAATTTCCAACTAGGGGGTCAATAAAGAACTTGTGGCTTCATATGTAATGGAAAACCATGCACATGTAAAAATTATGTTTTCAAGAACTATAAATATGCTTATGCTATAATGTTAAGCAAAAAAAATCAGGAGAAAAAACAGATTCATCTGTATGATGAATATATACATAGAAAAAAGACTGAAAGGAAATACACTAAAATATCAACAATGGTTATATTCTGGCTGCCGAGATTAGGGGTGATTTTTTTCCCCCCTTATATTTTCTGTATTTTTCAAATTTCTCTGTATCTTAACCATATTTTATAATTTGAAAAAAATTTTATTTTTAAAAACACCTGTAAAACTAGGACAGTATTAATGATCAACTTTAATACTGAGTGTTGGAGAAGGGTATGTTTCTTAAAGGCATTGAAAGATGTTTATATAAATTATTGTCATTAATTAAACATGGTCAATGACTGAGTTTCATTTTAGCTTAGATTATCATCCTTGAAGTAGCTGAATTTAATTTAAAAAAATCAAATGGTAAAATATTTATTGAATGTTTAATATACTCATTTGCTATACAGAATGGAGTGCTATTTTAAATTTTTATGTACTGAACATATTTTAAATAGTTGTCATTACATCATTAAAATTCAGAAAAAATAACTGTTTTTACATATGATAATTACTGTGTTTATATTTTCCATTAAATGTAGATTCAATTCAAATCTATTATTTCCCAGGTTTTTCATTATTTAAGAGTATATTGAGTCCATTTTTAAAATAGAAATCAGTAAAAATATATATAAATCTTACCTATATATAATTTTACTTAAATATGTACTTTTTTCTTTTGCTAGGCAGAAGATGCTGATGAGGCTATGAGTAACTACCTATCAGAAAAATTAAAGTTGAAAGACAAATGGCTTGGAGTCTGGAAGACTAACCCTGAGTTATTCTTTCTGAAATATGAAGAAGCTTCTATCCCTTTTGTTGGTATACTAGTTGAGGTAAATAATTTTGACCTAATCTTTGTTCTTTTGAGTGAAATTATCAGTTCTTTTTAAGATCAAAATATGACCTTATTAACTTGGAGCTTTGAAATTTAAACAGAAGTTGGCAAAAGTTTACTTGTATTTTAAATTTCTAAGCAAATTAGTATAAAAAGAAGGTAAGAGGGAATGTTAGCACCATTTTCTTATAGAAAGTTATCATTAAGTATAACCTAATTTACAATACTAGATAGTATTTAGCCTAGTTTTAACTGCTCAAATAATGTAAAAATAATAAAAACCCATTTCTTAAAAATTAGTAATTTAGGCTTTCACAAATTTGGGGCTTTCCCCATCATTTCCCTTCTTTATTTATCTCAAATATGATAGATAGATAGGAAAGAAAAAGCAAATGGGCCAGAAAACTACTGTTATAATTTGAAATTTTTTCTTATGAAAAGTACCTTTTAGTATAATACATCAACTTTCAAGCCTTCATCTGATAATATTTTGCTTTTCTATGCCTCTAGGTTAAATATTGTGGCATATTTGATGTCATATATTTGATTCCATTAAAGATCAATATCCCTGTATGTAAATTAACATTTACAATCACAAATGGTACTCCTGCCTCAGATTAGATATTTCAAATCTGTAGTTTTAATCATGAAAAAAACTTGTGTTTGCAACTCATAGCATTGCATACTACCTGAAAACAATTGTGTGTTCTATGGAAAAGTAAGTTACTGGTGTTTTTACAGATAAAGAACACCATATTTTCAAACAGAGACTACCCTTGCCAAGTTGTACCAAGGCAGACTAACCACAGCACCAGAGTGCTGTGCGAAACTTCTCCTCCCCGCCCCCCTCTGCAGTGTCAGTGTAGACTACATGGGGAACCTGGACTGCCACCTTGCCAGTAAGGAGAGACTCCTGTCATCCCTGCAAGGTGGTGTCAGAAAAGGTCTAGTGGAGAATCAGGACTTTCTCCCCCCTCCTCCCAGTGCTGTCGGGAGAGGCATGGAGGGAGCAGTAACGAGGTGCTCTTCTCTCTTCCAGCCTGAGTGCTGGTATCAGTGGAGGCCTGATGGGGAACCTGCACTCCCACCTCTGAACAGCAGCAACAAAGAACACCCCCCTCCCCACCCCAACTGAAGAACCTGGACTTCCATCCCCACTAGGCAGTACCAAGGTGGCAACCCCCTTTTTGTGCCAGGTTGATGTCAGAAGAGGACTGATGAAAGATTTAAATAAGATCAAGAATCTACTAGCATAGTACCCAAAACGTCCAGGTTTCAATAGAAAATCATGTGTCATCACTTGTAAGAACCAGGGAGATCTTAACTGGGATAAACAACAAGCACCAACACCCAGATGATGCAGATGTTAGTTAGAATTTTCTGACAAGGACTTAAAGTAGCCATCAAAGTAGGCTTCAGCGAGCGATTCTGAATGCACATGAAACAAATGAAATACCAATCTCAGCAAAGAAACAAAGTCTCTGCAAACAAATGAAAGATACCCTGACTCTGCTTCTCCAATACAGGCAGTAAGGCATATCCCTCCAGGCAGGAAAACCACAAGATTTTTCTATGAATCAGCTCAAAAGTAAAGATACGGATATATGGAGTTCCCATGGAAAGAAGCCTGGGTAGAACCTAAGAGTAGGAAAAAGATATTTTCAATTATGTGAGATCTCTCAAAAGTATGTCCAATGTACCCCTCAGGAAGTTAATGGATGTTCAGTCAAGGAAGTAATCAAGAAATATGAAGACATCTGATCCAAAATACAGAGAGGTCAACATAAGAGAGAAGCAAAGGGAATTCCCAGGATGATGGCAAAGAGGTAACAGCTATGCATGTAGCAGGTCTGAGAGCCAGTTCAGATTGGAACTGGTCAAAGAACTCTGGGAAAGAGTGCTTCAAGAAAGTGCAACTGGTATTTCATTTGACACACAACCTGTTGTTATTTTGAACATATTGAAAGGAGATGTATACAACTCAGGGAATTTGGGGTTAAATTAATGAAAGGCTCACAGAAAACAGCAAAAAAAAAAACCCCCACAAAAAACTATTATTGACTCCTGAGAAACCAAGTTTGTTCAGGAAAGGAAAATGAATCAGTTTACACTGTATAGTTCACCTGTGAATGGCATTTTCAAACTCAAGGTAAATACTGAATACTAAGCTTTAACAACATTGATAGATGGAGGACCAGGAGAGTGTGGGTATATGTGATGGGGGTGGGGAAAAATGAATGAGACTAATAAGCCCAGTCAGCATGACTCAGTGGTTAAGTGTCGACCTATGAACCAGGAGGTTACGGTTCGATTTCTAGTCAGGACACATGCTTGGGTTACAGGCTTGATTCCCAGGAGGTGTGCAGGAAGCAGCAGCTCAATGATTCTCTCTCATCATTGATGTTTCTTTCTCTCCCTCTTCCTTTTCTGAAATCAATAAAAATATGTTAAAAAAAAGATGACTAAATTCTTTTAGAGTCAGGGGTCAATATATAAAAACTGAAACAAAACAAAATGTAAGTGGCAATATAAGGATATTTTTTTAAAAAGAGGTAAATGTTTAAGTAATCAACTAAAAGAATTACAAGTGTTTGTCTCTAAGGAATAAGAATTAGAGCAGTAGTTCTCAACCTTCCTAATGCCTTTAATACAGTTCCTCATGTTGTGGTGACCCCCCCCCCCCACCAACCATAAAATTATTTTGTTGCTACTTCATAACTGTAATTTTGCTACTCTTATGAATTGTAATGTAAATATCTGATATGCAGGATGTTATTTTCATTGTTACAAATTGAACATAATTAAAGCATAGTGATTAATCACAAAAATAATATGGAATTATATATGTGTTTTCCAATGGTCTTAGGTGACCCCTGTGAAAGGGTCGTTTGACCCCTAAAGGGTCGCGACCCACAGGTTGAGAACCACTAAATTAGAGGGTGATGGGAGATTATAAAGAAATTGTATTTTTTATAACAAACCTAGTACAGCCATTTGATTCTAAAATATATGCATGTATAATACTGATTTAAGAAATAAAAACTAAAATTTTAAAATATTTATTTTAGGCAACTTGTACACCACGCCAGAGCTCATCATCATGTTTCAGAGTGACTGTTTCTGTTGCTGAGCCTTTTTCTTCTAATATTGCAAATATTCCAAGGAATTTGGTTAATGAGGTTTTAGAAGAACTAGAGCATAGTGTGCCTCTCTTGGAAGTGTACCCTGTTGAAGGACAAGATTCTGAAATACATGATATTGCTTTGGCCTTGGAAGTTGTAAGGTATTAGAGTTTTTTACTTCTTAAAGTTAAAATTATCATATCCAGCATTTTAGTTTAACATGTAAATTTTGTTCATACAAGCACTTTGTGAATATTTATTGATTTAATTTTACTTAATTCAATTTATCTATTTTTAATGAACATATTTGTAACTCTTAATTAAAACATTCTCTTTTGAAGTATTATATACGGACAATAAACGTTTGCTATTTTCAACTTTGCATTTTACAAAAATTGAATTAAAGAATTCTGGCAAATAAGTAATAATTTTTGTTCATATTTAAACATCTTAAATATATCAGATTTCATTTTTTCACATTTAAGGGCATTACAAATACTCGATTCATTCCCATTATGATTGCTTCTTTCAAGTCTGGTACAATTTGAGAGAAGCATTCCATAAACTTACTATAGATGGGGGCATGTTTCTGTTTTTCTAATGCTTTCCTGCTTTCAATATACAAATCTGATGATATCTTAAGTGTTACTTTTTTTTGGTGAATAAAATAACCCAAATCTATGAAATCTGAAACCTGAAATTTATAATTCCATTTCAAGCAACATTATCTTATCTATAGTAACCTAAAATAGAATCCAGATAATCAAATTTTTAAAGTTTATCTTTAATAGTAGTTCATTGAAAGGTCATTTAAAAATATTTTTCTGCCCTGGCAGTGTGGCTCACTTGGTTGGAGCATCCTCCTGTATACTTAAGGGTGTCAGGTTCAATTCCCTATCAGGGCACATGCCTAATACACCAATTGATGTATGTTTCTCTCTCTCTCTCTCTCTCCCTCCACCCCCTTCCTATCTCTCTCTCCTTGTTCCTCTCTCCCCCTCCCCTTCCTTTCTCTAAAATCAATAAAAAGCATGTCCTTGAATGAGGAAAAATATTTTTTTCTTAACAGATAAAATTCATGTAAAGAATTTTTATATCAGAATGCCTTAATTCTAAATGTGGTACTCACTGTTTTTGATCACTTTCATCTTGATTTATCTTAGGTTTTTTTATGACTTTCTCTGGAGAGACTGGGATGATGAAGAATGTTGTGACAATTATACTGCTTTGATTGAAGAAAGAATTAATTTGTAAGTATACTTAAAAACTTGTTCAGGCCCTAGGCGGCTTGGCTCAGTGGATAGAACATTGGCCTTCGGACTGAAGGGTCCAGAGTTCGATTCTGGTCAAGGGCATATGCCTGGGTTGTGGGCTCAATCCCCAGTAGGGGGCGAGCAGGAGGCAGCTAATCAGTGATTCTCTCTCATCATTGATGTTTGTATATCTCTCTCCCTCTCCCTTTCTCTCTGAAATCAATAAAAATATAAAAAATATCTAAAAAACAACTTGTCCAGCACATTATATAAGATAAGCATTGTAATTATACTGATGCTTTTCAGGTGGTGTGATATACAAGATGGAACAATACCTGGTCCTATCGCACAACGTTTCAAAAAAACTTTGGAGAAATATAAAAACAAGCGTGTTGAGCTCATTGAGTATCAGAACAATATTAAAGAGGATCCCTCTGCAGCAGAGGCTGTTGAATGCTGGAAAAAATACTACGAGATAGTAATGCTCTGTGAATTATTGAAAATGTGGGAAGATTTACGCCTCCGGTAATACTTTGTTCTATTTTATTTTATTCTATTTTAATGTTTTTTATTTTAGAGAGAGGAAGGGAGAGGGAAAGAGAGAACCATCGGTGATGACAGAATCACTCTGTCATCCTGTACACTCCCTATTGGGGAGCGAGCCTGAAACCTGGGCATGTGCCTGACCAGGAATTGAACCCTGATCTCCTGGTTCATAGGTTGATATTCAACCACTGAGCAACACTGGCCAGGCAGTTTGCTGTATTTTAAATGGAAACAATTTGGCTGCCTCATAATTTCTGCTTTTCTAACCAACATAAGTTGATAAGTTGTTTTTGATGATAAATAAAACAATGCAGATTTAACCAGTGCCATTCTCCTCTAGAATACTTCCAAATGTGTTTAAATATTTTTACATTGTTATGCAGCAAAATATATATTTTTGTCTTTGTTTTTAAAAGAGGGGAAACAGGAATTCTTGCTCATAGTCTCCAAATTCATAGAAAATCTTGAATGGAGTCAAAGAACTTCTATTTCATACAAAATTGTTAAACCCCTTTTTTTGTGTTCTACCTTTACTCATTCTTTGCCTTAGGAATTCTGAGCAACATTTTACTTATCTAACTGTGAACTGTGAGCCTAAATCTTTCCTTTTGTATTTTCTCTCAAATTTGACCTGTTTTATAATCACTAAGAATCCCATCCCAGTGTTTATTTTTGATGTTTCCTTGTTATTGGGATTCCTGTGTAAAAAAACCTTGGGGTTACTTTGGGAAAGCAATATGGATATGATTTTTGAAATCCACTTATCTAGAAAAGCAGCTTTAACAAAAGTTAAATTTGAATACAAGTTATCATCACTAGACTTTAGATTCCAAGGGCATAGGGCAACACAGAGTTCCCTCATCTGAAAAATTATATAATCACATAGAATCTAATTCTCCGAGCGGTGGAATGAGTTAATTGATCAAATCCTTCCATAGATAATTAATTATAAAATCAGGACAAAATTTATTAAAGGTATTCAACTATTTTAAGGCACTATGAAATGACCAAAAGCAGGCAGCAACCAGAAAAGTTTATCCTTGAAATGGATTTATCCTTGGAATGGGTAAAAAATTGAAATTTGTGGCTTTTTGGTCTGAGGGTAATCACCAATTCTCATAGCTCTGGCAGCAAAAAGTGCACTGTGTTTGAAAATGACAAAGGACAGAGTTTGAAGGCTAGCAGAGCACCTGGAAACTCAGGTGGGGTACCCAGAAAATAAAAGAGGTGCCAAAGGGGATCCACAAATCGAGCATAAACTCTGCCATTTCAAATTCTTGGTTGACCTCTAAACTATGCTAACATTGGTGAGGCAGAGAAATGCTAAAAAAAGGAAACTGGAAATTGAGAAAACTAAGCAGAGATGCCAGCTGCTGTATACCTCAAAGGAAAAAGTTTGCATTCTGGGACCAGGCAAGTTAAAACTGCCTCATACATAGAATACAAGACTAACAATCCTCAGAAAAACAACACAATCCAGAGTTACTGAAATATATTATCCCAAATCTCTAGTTCAACCAAAAATTAATAGACATGCAATGAAACCAGAATGTTAACTCATACTCGGGGGGGGCGGGGGAGGGAAGACAGTTAATAGAAACTGATTTTGAGGGGACCCAGATGTTGGATTTATCAAAGACTTCAAAGCAGCTATTATAAATACGTTTAAAGAATTAAAGGGAAACATGATTACAGAATGAGAGGAAAATATGGTGTTAATAAGTACATGGAAAATCTCAACAGAGATGGAAACTATATAAGAGAACCAAGGATCTCCAGATTCAGCTTGGACATGTTACCATGCTCACAACAAGAAAAAGGATTTCACACAATTAACTCAAAATGATCCATAGGCCTACACATAAAACAATACTATAAAGACTTTCATAATAAAACACAGGCAGAAACCCAGATGACCTTGGGTTTGGCAATGTTTTTAGATACAACACTGAGTATGACAGGAATGTTCTATATCTTGATTATTGATTGAGTTAAATGTGTGTAATCACCTATGAAACCTCATGAAATGATTCATTTAAAATGAGTGTTGTGTAATTATACCCTAATTCAATTTAAAATCACTGATATATACATTTGTTACAACTAGGATTGTATGACATATATCCTGAGTGTAGGATGCTTTACTCCTTGAGCAACTAGTAATCGGGTATATGGTGCAAAAATGTATGAGTAGTTCCCTTTCTCAATATCTAAACCACTTGCTTAAGTAGTTATAAAAATGCTGAGTGTTTGATTTTGAAATCTTAAATGAAACTTTTGCTTTAGAGGATATTGCTAATATGTTGGAATTCAAATTTTAATAACTTGCATGGCAACTTCTTAAAACCAGTTTCCTGAAAATTTTTCACAAAAATATTTGATCATTTTAATAAACGTGAAAAATACTGGTACTAAAGCTGCATCCCATTTAGCATCAAGCAATAAAGTGCTACAGAAAACCCAAACGTTTTCACCTGATGAGATTAATGGCAAATCAACATCTATTGGAAAAGGAGTGTCCCTTTGGCTGACAGGAATGATAAAAGTTACATTCAAAAATTTTTTTTCTTTCTTTTGATGACACTTAAATGAAGAGATAGAACACAGGAACTGTAAAGAAAAGGAGTAAGAAGAGAAAGAACAAAAGTAATTAGAAGTGCTGAGTAGGAAACAATATAAAAACAACTAAGAGAAAAGCTAAAATTGTTCTTCTGGGAGGCCAACAGCCAACTATTTCTATGGAGACCCTATCCTCTGAAACAAAACAGTCTGTTAATTGAACATTATATCTGAAATTAGACACATCTTAAAACATTCTTATGCCTCAGTATCACAGGCATAACCCATCTCTGCTCTGTGCAGTGGATTATGACAGTACAATCAGGAAAAGTGTCTACTGTATTGAGAAATTGAGGGGAGTGAGGTATTAACTATAGTGGGTTGCATGCAGGTTTCAAGTACAAACCATTAAAATGAAAAGATTTTAGAGTTCAAGGGTTTAAACAGTTATCTAATGAATATTTTATTCTCAAGTTGCTCATTGCTCTTGAGCTTAAAATTAGTGAAACCTTTTTCTCAAAGATGCTTGGTGCCAAGTTTTTATTTTCTAAGCAAGTGTAGGTTGAATCTTTTTTCATTGTTAATTTAGTCATACATGTTTTTAACTCTAGAGTCCATGGACCTTTTTTTCCAAGAATTCTGAGGCGTAGGAAAGGAAAAAGAGATTTTGGAAAGACTATAACACATATTGTAGCAAAAGTGATGACTACTGACATGGTAAGAAAGACACTTCATTCTTACTTGTTCATTTAAGTTTAGCTGTGTATAATCAGAAAAGCAGCACTTTGAAGGTAGGGTTCTTGCCTGGCTCAGAAATGCCATATTTCCCCCATTTCATCCAGCTTAGTGATTGGCATATAGTAAGTACTAAATGAATCAATGTCAACAATTATTTGCTGAGTACTAACCTTTTTTGTCAGGCACTATGCTAGTAGAATAGAAAGGATGGGAAATAAATATGAGAAAGCCTGTATGTGAGGAAGATACAATGTTGAACCAGACCCACACATCACACATTGTACAAGTTTGAATATGGTGGAGATATGAATAAGTAGGCAATTACAACAAAGAATGATACATGCTATGATATGGGTATGTACAGGATGCATATAGAATGAGCACATAAGCCTGAATTAGCAAGTCTGGCAATGCTGGCTGGGAGAAATAACTCAGTTGAAACCTAAAGGAAGACTATAAATTTAAGCAGCCCAAGAGGGGAAAATGTTCTAAGTCTAAAAGTAAATATTTCCATCTCAACCTCTCAGTAGCATTTCACAGTTCTCTCCTGGAAATATTTTTTTGTTGTCTTGTTACTATACTCCCCTGGTTCTCATTCTTTCTAGATGCTTCCCCCTCCTCCTCCTATCCATTAAATGCTTAGTACTTTTGCTGCACGATATCATCCCTAACTGATCTCTGTCTGATCAGTTAATATATACTGATAACTGAAAATGTGTCCACTGCCCATTGCTCATCACCACTCTATCTCAAAAGTACTTCAACTGTCCACAATTAAATACATGACCTTCTTCACTGACTTGTTTATATTCTAGAGTTCCCTGTTCCAGTAGATGGTTCCACCACCTACCCAGTTGCTAGTTATAATTTTCTGAGAGTTATCCTATCCCTCCTCACCTCCATGTATCCATTTTGGTGTATATAACATTCTTTCAGAGTCGCTGCACATCCTTCAACCCTCAACATAAACATCATGTCCACTGTTCGCATCCTTCCAGGATACATTAGACAGTTGTGTACTTTCACAGCACCCTGCCCTTCCCCTTATCACAACTGTGTTTAATACTTGTTGGTATCTATTGAGTGTCTGTCTCTTATTAGAATATGAGCTTCTTGAGAGCAAATGGTATATATTTACCATACACCCCCCACCTCACATCATGCTTGGCACATGGTGCTCAACTGTTTTGGTTAAATAAATGAGTGCATGTCTGACAGAGTACGGTGTGTATGAGAAACAGTGAAGTCATTAGGTAAAAATAAGGCCATCGCCTTGGCCAGTGTGCTCAGTGGTTAGAGCATCGGCCTGCACACTGAAGGATTATGAGATCTATTCCTAAAGGGCATGTACCTGGGTTGCAGACTCAACCCCAGGCCCTGGTCTGGACATGTGTGGGAGGCAACCAGTCAATGTGACTCTCACATTGATGTTTCTTTCTCTTTCTCTCTAGCCCCTGCCTCCCTTT